AGATTTGAGGTCATCAGGGTCAGATCAGGGTCAGATCAGGTTCACTATACAGGTCAAATGACTTCTCAAAGTCAGTTGAGAGTTCTGGGTTTTTAACTAGTTAAAAAAGTGTTGTTTTTTATGCTAATTACGTTGCCATGGCAGCACAATGGAGCCGTTCGGAGAGCTGCCGCCTCTCAGCGAGAAGGTCGCTGGATCGAATCCCAGCCAGGAATCTTTCTGGGTGGAGTTTGCATTTTCTCTCCCATGTATGCGTGGCTGTTTGTCTTGTTTGTCTCTATGTGGCCCTTTGATGGCCCTACCACTGAATCACAGCCATGGCCCTAATGTATGGACATGAAGATGTTTTTCCTTGGCTGAAAAGTGAGTTGCAGCACAGACAGAACATATCTTTTATCTATCATTCCTCCACCAAATTCAAATCTATGCACACTTGTGTTTGATGAAGGGGGCTGTTTAACTTGTCTTCTCCAGTATTGCCAACCTAAGTATTAAGTTGCATCAGTGGTAAGTGCTGAAAAATTCTCATGGTTTCATCCCATAAAACCCTCCTTTTGTGTTTGAATACCTGGTCCAGTAGCACCACCGATGACTTAATAATGTCTCTCCACTTCTGAAGTTCGGCATCATGGTAACGCTGCTGTGCCTCCAGGAGCTGGGCCCACTCCATCTGCGTCTGAGGCAGTTTACTGGCAAACACATACAGACACACAAACAGAAACACAGGCAACATCAAGGTGAATCCAATGAAACACGATTTCCATTTAGACTGTGTGCCAATAAAAAATTCAGTGTTTTTTTTTGTTAAGTCCCAGAGCTATTCAGAAGTAAATGTAGAAACAGTGTTACGTAGTTTCTCCTGTACATGTGTGGGGGTAATGGTGTGACAGCTTTGGGTAAAAATAACAACAGAACTCTCTTGTGCAATGCAGTTTTTGCATCTCTGCATGCCCCAGAGAGTCGTTAATAAGTCAAGTTGAATGGCTTTATAATGACCATTGCCATGAAAGATGGAGGATCATGTATTTGCCAGTGTCTGTGTTTGTATGTCTGGTAGAAAATATCACAAACCACAGGATGGATTTTAATGAAACTGTGATAAAATAATCATTGGAAGTACACAACTGATTAAATTTTGAAGTCATGAAGGCTGCCACAGCTAATCAATTTTAGAAAGTAAAAAAAAAAAAAACGCAATTTGTTTTACAGATACAGACCCCACTTTTGTGTGGGAGTGGTCCATCCATCCATCCATCCATCCATCCATCCATCCATCCATCCATCC